AAGCGGGTCTGACCTAGGGTGAATTTTAAATAGGGACAATTTTAATGATTTTAATAAGACACAGCGATAAATATTTGGTTTTTAATTGGCTTTTATTGGGGATAATGTTTTATATTGTTTTAACATGCTGTGAGCCGCCCTGAGTCCCATGGGGAGAAGGGCGGCATATAAGTTAATGAAAATAAATAAATAAATAAATGTGGAATGCTGATAATTTTGCAAAACGGGGTGTTATTTTTCATGGGAAAAGAGCCTGCTTTAAACTCTGTAAGTGTGGCTCTGTCAACATGCTCTGATGATAGTTTACTTGTGTATTTACCTTGTGCTGTTTTCAGTTAACTTTAAGAGTAGAGAAAATGTCAAACTTTGAACAGCAAACCTTTTTCCCACGTTGGGACTGAAAACTATGTATATACTATAATAAAATTTCAAGCAGAGATCTGATATGAGTTGCCCAGTGAGTACATTGTTCATAGGCTGTTGTTTTTTATTGTTGTGCTGTGTTTTGTTTTCTATTTTAGATGCCAATGTATTGACTAAGATATTCTGGGTCTTGACTCATTCAATAAGAGGCAAATAATTATTTGACTGCCTAGAACAGAATGTCTTGGGCCTTCCTTAAGAACGGCAATAGATTTGCCTTTTTCCATTTCCAACATGGCTTCAACTGCTGTGAAAAACTGCCCACAAAGCATTTTCAAGATGACTGGAAAGATGAATTGTCTGTTACAGAGAACAGAAGGACTTGTAGTTGGGATTTCCTGAAACTGACTGGTTTGTTTCATAACCAGATAACGGATTTCTCTTTGGACAAATTGCAAGATAGATGGAACATAACTACCCCATGCTGGCTCCTTGTAGTGAGAGGAGAACTCTTAGTTGTTTGCTATTCTTGGACGTTTTCACAGAAGTGTGCATTCAAGCCATTTGATGCTCTATTTACATTTATCAGATTTCTATACCGCCTCAGTGACACTGGACGGTTTAAAGGTAGTCCTCATGGCCGCAAGTGAGCCCAACATTTCTGTGGCGAAGTAAGACGGTTGTTAAATGAATTTTGCCCCATTTTATGACTTTTCTTGGCCACAGTCGTTAAGCAAATCATTGCAGTCATTAAGTCAGTCTGGCTTTCCCTGTTGACCTTGCTTGTCAGAAGCCTGTTAGGTTACAAGTGGTGATCGCCTGATTCTGGGATGCTGCAGCCCAAATTTTGATCATGTGACCCTGGGAATGTAGCAGTGGTCATAAGTCACTTTTTTCAGTGCCGTTGTAACTTCGAACACTCCCTAAATGAACAGTGCTAATTTGAGGACTATTTGTACAGCCAAATGTAAATAGATTTCATGATGGAAATCATTTTTCTTGCAGAGTTTGGCTTTTCAGTACAAAGCCATTGATCCTGTTACACGAAGGACTCAATCTTCGTCTGAAGAACGGTCGGCTTGATTCTGTCCTCGTCAACCTGCCTTATAAATAGAAGTGATCTGAACTCGGAGCTGCGGCTATGTCTACTTTCCCCAAAAGCTACAATCCTTTTGATGAGGACGAGGATGACTTCAAGCCAGTCAAGTGGAACGAAGGGGACGAGCCTCCAAGAGAAGGTCCAGACAGACAAAGATATTTGCAACAGGAAGTCATGAGACTCTCAAAATCGACTCTAGACAGCACCAACAACTCACTGTCCCTCATTTATGAGTCTGAACATGTGGGAGTCGCCACATCGGAGGTAAACAAGAATCTCGAAAGCCCATTTTTCAGTGTTTGCATGCTGTGTCAGTTAGGCTAAACAAGGTCATATCGGAGTACCGATGTCTCCTGTGTAGCTAATGAAATACCTGCAAGAAAGCAAGTTCAGAGAACACCAAGGATTCCAGAGTCTTCCTCCTCCTCCTCCTCCCCCTCCTCCTCCCTGTTCCTTCTCCACCCCACAAACCCCACTCCCTTCTAGCACTGATGATATTACCTAGTTGGGTCATGAAATGTCTGCAAGAAAACCACCAAGCTCAGAAAATACCAAGGACCCCAGGGTTCAACAAATATTGTGGACTACTGGTAATAATGATATTTCATATTGCCACTGCTTCAGCTTAACAAAGAGAAAGCCACAGTCCCTTTTGCATAAGATGTGTTTCGTTGTGCAATTGGCATCCCTTTCACAAATTGTTTTTTTTTTTTTTTTTTGAAACTCCCACGTTGCTTTTGGCAGGAACTTGTGCGGCAAGGGGAAGCCCTGAAGCGTTCCGAACGCATGGTGGATAAGATGGAGCACGACTTAAAGACGAGTCAGAAACACATCAACAGCATTAAGAGTGTCTTTGGGGGCCTCGTCGGCTACTTCAAAGCGAAGCCGCAAGAGACCAAACCAGAGGAGAATGGAGCCCCTCAATACCAAGGAAGCGACAGGTAGATAATTGAGAGATGCCTCTAAGGATGCATGGAGTGGGTGGGCCTCCGCGTTCCCCCGTGCCCAAGTGGCATTGGCCTTGAATTTGTTGTTAGATTTTTTTTATCCCACCTTTATTACTTTGCAATTTACGATGGCAAACATAATCTCCTTCCTCTTTTCCCACAACAATAACCCTGTGAGGTTGGTTGGGCCTGAGAGAGAACGACTGGCTCAAAGTCACCCAGCCAG